TGTTGATCAGGCTGATCTCAAACCCCTTAGCTCAAGCGATCATCCTGCCTCAGCCTCTAAGTGCTGGGATTATAGGCATGAGCCACTGCACCCGGCCTGGCCTTATTTTTTTATTCAGAAACTAAATATACCACTTTGAAACAAGATAATACATTGACTTCTAGTAACATATTTCTTCTGAACAGGTGCTCCTAACAAAACCTGGAAATGACTATACTTTGGCACCTGCTGAAGGTCTGCGCCCGTCAGTGGCATGGCTTTAATTGGAACTCAGTAATAGATATGTCATTATCCCTATGTGATAACCAGGATCTAATCCCATCCATTCTAGTTGCTTCAGATGTTCCACGTTGGAACAATTGAATCCCAATGGATAATGATCAATTACTCTTCACTCATCAGTGTGAGGAGTGGTGTCCTCATATGAAGTGAAAAGCTCTTATGCTTATTTTCAATAAACTAACCATGCATGGCAACCAGTCACCACTACTAAGGAGGAATCTTTGTTGAATTAGAAGTATTATTTCAGACATTTGTGCATGTAGTCATTGTTGAAAGAAAATCATCTATTGTCATTCCAGACATCTCATCTTGCTTCTGCAGAATATTTTCAATCTACAGAATAGAATAAAGAGAAGACAGATCTCTTTAGTGTGTTGTTTTTTATGGCTGCCAATGCTAAAGCAGATTTCAAAAGTTGCAGGCCATCCTTTTTTTTTTTTTCAAATATAATTAGAGGACTTAGTCAAACATGTATGCATATTGTAACAGTGAACTATTACCAGAAACATAAAATTTCATTGGCATTCAAAATAAACATCTGCTTTTTATCTATCTGTGGTCAACTGGGACAGCTCATTCAAATTCCGCCCTTGGAATGGTTCCACAATTCCACTGGATGGCTCTACTTTCAGGTCAGAGCCCACCTGAGCTTGGTTAGGGAGTCTTGGCTTCACCTAAGTTAATTATGCCTGAAGGGATGGCAGCTATCCCAGGGTAGCTTTTCTCACTGATGATAACAAAAGAGCAAGAGGGAAGAATGAGATGTCTTTGAAGCCTTAGGCTAAAAACAGGTGCACTTTCACTTTCAACAACATTTTGTTGTTGTTGTTGTTGTTTAAAAAGAAATCAAATTGAACAGCAGTGAAGAAAAGGGATAGGAACATGTATTCTAACTTGTGGGAGGAACTTAAAGTGAATGTATATGATGTTTTATAAGGTTTGAAGATTTTCTGATAAAAAGAACAAATCATAAAAACACTCTAAGAGATGAAAGACAAAATTCTTCTCACTTAAAACTCCATATTTTCCAGTCAGGGCCACCTAGGAAGTTGCATCAAGAGAAAGGGTAACAGCAAGCTGAATCTGTGGGGGGCAATTTATATATAGCAAGTAGAGTGGATTCATCTAGGTTTCCCAGGATCCCTGTGCATTGGCCAACTTGAACAATTTCTCGGGCTCCAGGGCTTAGGGCGTGTGTCTAGTTGGTTGATACTTGGTCCTGGGGCAACCGAGGGGCGTATACAGTGGTCGAGAGTGTGAAAGCTCAGTAAGAGGGTGGTTGGCTTGGGGAGTGGACTTCATCAGCTGCCAAGAAGGAGAACTGAGTTGCCTCTGGCTGGGGCCTCAAAACTGGGTCCAGATAGTGATTGAACAACAGCAAAACTGTGTTATAATCTACCCCTTAAAATCTTGACATCAGTTGTGAGCTTGATTATTTGCTATATTTCAATACGCCAATAATCAATTTCAATAAGCCAATCTGCTGCCAAATAGCAGCAAAGACTTTCACAGAATAAAGTATAAAATGTTCCAACAGCATAGAAAACATTTTATTATGGGAGTAAATAGGGGGAAAACATGCAGAAGAATAAGGAGTCCTTGCAGGCCAGTCCATCACCAAGATCTCCATTTTATGGCACTCCTAAGGAAGAAGCTGGAATTGCTGGGGTCTCTAACAATATCTTGGTGGAGTTGTAAAATGCTTTAAAAGTATCAGTTATGTGATTTTATGATAATAATATCTTAATATATCCTTGAGTCAAAGTGGCAGTTCCAGTTGTTTCGTGTAGAGGGAATAAACTTAGTAAGGTACATGTAAAGGTTAGTGATATTTGTTTGAAACCAAGGGAAGAGGTGGTCATGGTCACGTTCAGAAATGCAGAGTGGGAGGTCATGGTGGTAAGCTGAAGTGAGAAAAGTAGGAGAAGGCCCCGGGAAATGGGAGGTTCACTCTCCAAGGGAGTCAGTGCTTAGACTGATATGCGGTAGTTGCCTTCTGGGGAAAGTAATAATCTTCATTAATTTTTAGAAAGGCACAGCTGACAGTACTGCTACAAGTTTTTCCTTAAGGCATAGGAGTTTAGGAGTGTGGAGTGTGTGTTTTTACAGAGAGCATGAGTACACATGCAGGTCAGACATCTAAAATTCAATACAGCAAAGGAAATTGGGAACAATATTTAAAATTAGTGTTACATATGTTGGGCCCTGAATTTTAAAAAAATTAAATCCTGGGGCAAGATATGGATGCATTTAGGAATTGGTTTGTCATTTTTTAACCTATGTTGGAGTTCTTTGATAAGACCATTTAGGTCTTCCAATTAAATTACTTGCCTGGGACCTATCTGGGAGAGAAAAGTTCCATTGAATACCTTTTGTAAGAGCCCACTATTGTATTCTGGGATGTGAAATGTGTGGCTTTGTCACTATCAGTAATGTCTGACACTTCAAAGGGAATAAAAAGTATCCCAGGAAGACCCTGTATTGTGGCCTTAGTATAAATAGAAACATGTGTAACCTTGATTTATATTTTGGATACTTGTGAAGCAAAAGATTCTCAAACTTCTATAGGGGGCAACTCTTAGGCAGTGGTTCAAAAGTTTGCAAAAATGTACAGATGGAACCATATGCTGACTATGGTATCTAGTGTTAAGATGACTATTAGTTTGGCCAAGTGACCTAACCCTTGGGTTTCAATCTTTATCTGGAATAATCTGGGTAAAAAATGGAAAGCAGCAATATTTCCCTGTGGTCCATCGTGTATGACAGTGACAATGCTGTTGTACACCCTACCAATTGCTGTTCTCTCAGTTAATTATAAGTGGCTCCTGATATCCAAGGGGCTTGGAAGAAGGATAAACTTCTCCAACACCATGGCACCTGGGAAGTGACTGAGGACATTGGAGTCCATCCCCTCTTGCAAGCGGAATATACACACGGGCCCAGATGTGCTCCATTTTACATCAAGAAGTCACTTGTAGCCATGTCCAGCTTGTCCGGTTCTGCTTCTGTGACTCAAAGCATGATTGGCAGCTGGATATGAAGAGCCACAAACTCAAGGTCTATAAAAGCCTCTATTTCCAGGAGATAGTAGTGTGTGGCCAGCATGTTCTTCTCTAATGGAGTCTAGCACATGAATAAGTAGGATTGGCCAGTGTGCATAATTTCATGGGCTTGGGCACATAAGGGCTGTCTGATAGCTGGCCCTAGGGTGATTTAGGCAGGTACTTACTGGTTGTAAGTGTGAAAACACAATAAGGCAAATACTTAGCTGCTCAAAAAGAGGAATGCCTCTAGTTAAAATCACAAAACTGGGCTAAGATAGCATTTCAAATAAACTATATTAGATAGGGGTATGAGTGAACATTTGGAGCCAAAAACACAATCTGCTAGATTGATTCTTCAGTATCTAAATCTTTATAATTTAAGCTGAAGAGTGTGTTGGGGGTGGAGGTAGAATAAACTCATCAAATAACTAATAGCTACTAGGTGACAGAAACTATGTGAGATACTGACCTGAAAATGACCGCTGAATAACAATGAGCTCTTTCCCATTTTTCATAGCTCTTTTGAAAATATTTTATTGTTAAATCTTGTATACTAACAAAAGTTAACAGGCTTTAAATATGCATAATTATAGCCACTTTTAAAGTAATAGATTAATTGACAGCAGTAATTTGCTTCCAAAACCTATCTAAACTGTGCTTTCTTGGCTCATTTTTTTCTGCTCGTACTTTTTAAAATTTCTATATTGTCTGTCAATCCAAACAACTATTACCTTGGTAGGCTTTAGACTTGCAACAGGTCTTTATGTTCTTGTAATTTGAAACTTTTAAATTTTAACAACAATTTGGAAAATCATCTCTTTTATTTGTTTACAATGAGTTACTTAATATAAATTTATATTTTGTCATAATCAAATATCAGAACGGCTTTGTTTTATTATCCTTTTCACTTAATAATATTTATTTCATTTTTGTCCTTTACTAAATTAATTGAAAAGTCTAGGCCTTTACTTACTGAGCATAGTTTGAAGATTATATCATTGCATGTACCTATGATTATTTGTATTATGAAAAGTCACATGAAGTCTGTAGAATGTATTTACTTTTGAAGTAGGAAGCATGGAAAATGACAAGCCTTTGCTTGATTTGTATTTTATTTTACCATGTGTCTAAAGACATATCTTTCTTTAGTTCTATCAGAGACATAGCTTTCTTTAATTCTATACGCTTGTTCAAATGTCACCATTTCCAGTAAATCTGGCAAGTACTCCAACCTATCCATCACTTCTTGATACTTTACCCAATTTTCTATTTTTAAATAAAATATTGAGTTAAATATATTTCCAAACAAAACATTTATATATTTCGGTTTAAACAAATATTAGCACTGTGAAAAAAAAATGATGATATATTTGGAATTCTGGTTGTTCTTAACGGCCTGAGACTAAGGAAAATTTCAGTACATGGGTATCATTCTCAATACAGGGATGTGCTGCTCAGTCCTTCAGGGAGGGGCTTACAAACCAGCTTGAAACTCCTGCAGGGTCTGCCTCAACCACAGACAACCTTCTAGAGGTCACACATGTGCCAGGGAAGCTCCATCTGTTGAATGAATGAGACAGAGAATACAAGCCTTCGCCATTTTGACTTTATGAGTGTCACTTCCACAGGCAATACTCCATAACTCCTTGCTAGTTTTTCTGATATTTTGTCAGACCTGCATTTCGGGTTGACTTCTTCCTTAGCCTGATACTGCTTTCTGACATCTCTCTTCACATGTAGTGAGTCCTAATAAACATCTGGTACCCCATACCCCACTTCTACTTCCAGAGAGCACAACTGGTGACATATCGAAGGAGGGACATTCTAGAGTCTATGATTATAGTCCCAATTCCTATCTTAAATTTTAAGCATTAGCAACCTTAGGAAACTCAAGTGGGTCAGAATATTTTCACTGTAAATCAAACATGCAGAGTTGATGTACAATCATTGACTCTTGTTGGAATTATTTAGAAAGTCCAAAGTCTCTTAGGAACCAGAAAATATGTCTATGGATTTCTGTTTATTAATGCATTCATTTAAACATCTGAACATTATTCATTTATTCACTCACTCACTTAATCATTCTTTCAAACACCTTTTATTCCCTGCTTCATGCTGGCTGTCTTGTTCAGTGCAGGGATACATAGATAAATACATGATCTCTGTCATTAAGGCACCTAAGGATGACAGAGATAGATATGATAAATAATTTTAAAAGTATGCGTATTAGAATTAGTTTCAGTGTTTTATCCCGTTTTTGTTTTTGTTTTTATTTGGCTGCTACATCAAATTACCACAAGAATAGTGGCTTAAAAGAACACAAACGTATTGCTTGCAGTTCTGGAGGGACAGAAGTCCAAATTCAGTCTCACCTGACTAAAGTTAACAGTTTTGTGAGGCTGGTTCCTTCTAGAGGCCTTGAGAGAAGAATCTATGTTCCTGCCTTTTCCAATATTCTGTAGTCGTCTGCATTCATTGGCCAATAGCCTCTTCCTTTTATCCCTGACCCTCTTACCTTCTTCTAATATGGACTCTTGTGATTACATTGGGCCTACCTAGACAACCAGGATGATATTCAAAACCCAAGATCCTTAAGCACACCTGCAATGTCCCTTCTACCATGCAAGGCAAAACTTCTAGATTCTGATGATTAGAACATTGACCTGGGGGGCCATTATTCAGCCTACCACAATACTTAACAAGGTGGGTAGAGGCAAGGGCAGGTGAGAAGTCAGAATATTGCTGCCAAGAGCATCCTAAGGCATTGTGGAAGATGCTGAATAGTACGTCAGCAAACTTCACAAAAGCATAGGTTTTAAGTAGAGTGTTGAAAAATAACAAAATGTTAGTGAGTGAAGGGTACAGTAGAGGTGATGTATACCCTCTACTATGACAGAGTAGCTTCTGCAAAGACATGGACATTACAGGAAATAGAACTGTTAATGGAATTCTAGCTGTCAGCCAAGACACATATTTTTCTGACACTTTATTTCTGAAAAAAAGCATGTGTCTTACAATTAATGAGTACATTTAATGTAGACATTAATTATTCCTAAAATCTTATTAAAATATTACAATAAATATTTAAAAACATGAATACAATGTAATTTGATAAATTTGGTTTATACGATGCTAAGTAAATATTGAGAGATGAGACCAAAGAACAAAGCGTGTTTCAAATTCATTATAGGTTGTAACCATGATAAGGAATTTTTAAACCATACTGGTGATCACACAAAGTTTTTTGTTTCCTTGAATAAGTTATTTCACATAATCTGGTTTTAGTTTTAGAGAGATTACATTGCCTACATGGAAGAGAAGGATAGGAGAGGCACAATAATGTTATAGGCAGTGAAAACATGATTGCCATAATCTGGCAAATATTGAAGCCTGAAGGAAGAAGGTGGTGGGCTGTTGATTGAGAGGCGGTGGGACATAGAAATGGTCAATTCTGGTAAATGATTTGTTGTAGGTAATGGGAAGGCAAGAAAAGGTACAGTAATTTCAACAACTCCCTAATTTGGGCAATTAGAAGCATGATTATACATTTTGTTGGGAAAAGAATTGAGGAAAAGATGTGTTTTTTTTTTGGGAGGGGAATAAACGAATAACAGCATGTATGCATTTTATTTAGTTTTTGAGGCATATGTGAAATATTGAAGTTTAAATATTCATCAGCATTTGTATATATGAAGCCCAGGAATGGATTTTTAGATGGAGATACAGATTGAGCAATCTTTCAATGGTAATTTAAATCTAAGATGAAAAGCAAACAAACAAAAACTGTTCTTTGTACTGTCAACATTTTGACACCAAATATGTGGGTTTTTCCAACCAATGAGTTGTGACATTCATTGCTTAGAGTTAACACAGATCCCATAGGATAGGGGCTCAGACCCCCAAGAATGCCAACCCGCTACTCACAATTCAGATGTCAACTGAAATTTCAGGGTGTCACCTGTGCTTCTGGCCAACTGTCTCTAAATTGGAGGTTTCATGACCTCCTCCTTGGGTTGAATAATTGCCCGAAATAACTCACAGAACTAAGGATAAAAGCTCACTTTCTAGCTAATCAGTTTATTACAAAAGGACACAACTTAGGAACAGTCAGATAGAAGTAAACCATACAGCAAAGTGTCCAGGAGAGGTGTGGAACTTCCATGCCTTCTCCCAGCACTTCCACAGGTTTGCCAACCCAGAAGCTCCCTGAATTCTCTGAACCCTGTGATTTTGGGTTTTTACAGAGGCTTCATGCTTAGACAATACTGACTAGAACCATTGACGCTTGGTGAATAGGTTAACCTATAGTCCCTCTTCCCTCCCAGAAGGTCAGGTCTTGGGACTACAATTTCCAGCCCTCCAATCACAAGATTGATTCTCCAGGCAGCCAGTCCTCATCCTGAGGCTATCCTGGAACCCTCAGCTACTAGTCTTCTCATTAACATACAGGGAAACATTTATTATTTTGAAGATTCCAAGGATTTTAGGAGCTTTGTGTCTGTCAGACAATGGAGACAAAGACTAAATATATACTTCTTAATATATCACAAAATCACAAAACCTTAAGCAGTGATGAGACGATACGAAAGAACGGCATGAACATTTCGCTCTGCTCATTCGGGCTGTTTTTGGGTCAGCTTTCTCTCTTGTTTTGGAGAACTCTCTAATTTTGTGTATTATTATGAGATGCAGTGTCCTGCTTCTCACCATGGTAGTATAAGTTGGACTAACTTTTACTTCCTTCCTTACCCACTGATGACCAAAGTTTTGGGCATGTGACTTGGGCTCACCCATCAGTTACACCCACACAAAACTTTAATCTGGAGTTGGAGGCACAAAGAAGAGGGGTTAAGGTTCATTTATAACAAATTTGGTGTGTTGAGTGAGGGTAGCACCAGGACATAGTATGAGGTTTCTACCGTGGTAGGGTCAGAGTCCTAACCAGACTGTTTAATACTTCTTTTCTGACCTACTTTTAGTTTTTTACCTCTTCAAAGTCTGATCCTCTTGTTTGTCATCAGTTCTCAAATTCTTAACATTATTCCCATGAAAATCCTTTGCTGCCTCATCTATCTATGTTTGATTTTTCTTCTTACAGTCGTGATTGGTAAAGAAGACATATAGAATGAAAAAAAGAAATAGGAGGGAAACTTTAAAGAAATCATTTGATGGTTAGAGAGAATATAGGGACCCTTATATTTGATGATTACTATTAGTCTGAGCCTTTTAAACTTTTCTATAAAAATCCTTTACTTTTAACCCAAAAATTGTGAATTGCCGAACTCCCTTCAAACAAAACAGCTTCCTATGCAAAGAAACAAGCAATGATAGTCTTGGAATTTTCCAAGCTGGTTTGATGAAAAAGTGTAACTGGAACTACTGATTTTATTGATTGGGAATGCATTAATTTATTCATAAGTTTGCCTTTACTACCCATGAACATATTGACAAAAGTGAGTGCTTTTCCAGTTTAATAAAGAATTTTATATGTGCTTGTGTGTATGCATAAGTACAAAAATGCTTACTTAATGTATTTGTATTTTTCCAATTCTGAAAGATCTTTATGGACTATAAATATTGATTAAAGTGGTACTATTTCTCAGAAAAAAATCTTACTTGTACTCATAATGACAATTTGACTGAGTAGATGGATCTTCTGGAAATATAGCTATACAGGATTAATTTAAAAATGTAATCCAGCTTATATATCATTAAAACTTTTTCTTCAATAGTACAAATACCCCATTTTCATATTACAAATATCAAAACACATAATTATCATGTTGTTTTAAATGGAGATGAAAGATTTCCTAGATAAAACATAAAAAAATACGAAATTGGAACATGAATTATTTTATTTTCATGAGTGTCAAAATATAATACGAATTTTCAAGTTTAGTAGATCATGTTGAGATTTTTACCTATAAATAAACTTTTGGGTTATTTAATACAAGTGTATGGCCATCTAATCATTCATTTATTCACTTATTCTGCCAATTTCATTTTGTGCCTTATTAAGTATAGAAAGACACATAATATACAGATATTTCCTGTGAAGGGCTCAAGGTTTGAGTTCATGGTAGAAATGGACTCAGTTATAAATAGGTATAAGGCAAAATAGAGAATGAATGTATAGTCAGAAAATTTAAAAAAATTTAAGTGAGAAACTGTAATATGAAACTTAAGTGGTTAAATGGATTTTATTAGTCCATAAAAGCAAGGATTTGTCTGCTCAGAAAAAGAGCAGGCTACATGGTTTATCAATATTTTCCTACTTTAATTTCAAAATAATTCACATTTATTGTACTGTAAATAATGTGTTAGCACAAAGGAAACTTAACATAAGGAAAAATGCTTAAGAATTATAAAGTATTATTCAATCACAAACCTCAATGACCTAAAAGGTAAAGAGCAAAGAAAGCAAAAGGCAGGTGACCGAGAAGGTAATAATACTTAAGGGAAATATTCCATCAATTTGTAGGTGCCCTTGAATGCTCACACTCTTATGTTTTTGCCGTGAGCAATAAGCTGGAGACTCTATTTTTTGTTCTTTCTATCAAAACAAGACTGATTTTCTACATTATAATTCCCATTGCCTTAGAATTTCATTACTTGAGTTATAGTAGCTAAGCAAGTCTTTTAATTATAGCACAAAATGCTCTAGTTACAATAGTTTAGGGAATATATTAATCACTCACTGACATTTACATATTTAAATGTCTTGTGCTTCATACACAATTCTAAAAAGAGAAAAGAGGTTTTTTGACAACACTTCTTAACTGAGTTACTTTAAGGTGATTTTAAGAGCAGTATCTGTTTTTAACAAGCATCAAAACATGTCGGTGGTGACAAGTTTTATGAACATATTTAGAATAAACATTAATTGCCGATTTTTTTTTAGATTTAATAAGCAAATTTCAGGAATCAAAATCATTTGTTGAATAAAGCTAAGTATTTTAAAAATTCACTTAATATTTTCACAGACAGTCTATATTTAAATGGAGAAATAAATACTCAGATTTCATAATAAACAGGCAATGCTTTACATTCAATTCTTAATTCTAATGTAGTCAAATTTAAATGTAATATAAAAGCTGTGTAAATATTTTTAAATTTACATAATGAGGCAAATGAAACTGAGCATTGTGTATGCGCTAAGTGTATACATGTGTGTTTTGGATGCTTTTTATTTTGCTTTGTTTCTCCTCAAAACCAATAGCAAATATCAAAGCTTTCAGATTCATTGATGTGATAACATTTGAGATTTCATTTCTATGTATAAATAATTTGACTGAAAATTTGTAACTGTGTTTTATTCTAGAGTTTTCTGGCATTTTAAAAATTCTTGCTGGGCCACAAATACTGCCAGGCTTTGTTACAAGTTTTTTTTTTTTTTTTTTTAGATGGAGTTATCACTTTGTCACCAGGCTGGAGTGCAGTGATGTGATCTCAGCTCACTGCAACCTCCACCTCCCGGGTTCAAGTGATTCTCCAGCCTCAGCCTTATGAGTAGCTGAGACTACAGGTGTGCAGCACCATGCCCAGCTAACTTTTTTATTTCTGCTAGAGACAGGGTTTCATCACGTTAGCCAAGATGGTCTCTATCTCTTTATCTACTCGCCTAGGCCTCCCAAAGTGCGGGGATTACAAGCGTGAGCCACCATGCCCGGCCTCTCACAGGTTTTTAATGTTCTATTTTAATGCAGAACCTAGATAAATCCTAAGATAAAGACATTTAATATGTGGTAGAGTTGTCGGAAGAAATGAGAGTCTTATAAATAACTTTAAAAGTTGTGAAGAAAAAAAAGACAAAATAATCCTAAGCAGTTTGATTTAAATATATATTCTTAATAATGGCTACTTTTGTGAAAACCAAAATATTGAAATATGTAGATATGGCTTTTCATTAGTGACTGACATAATATATTGTAATTATTACTATTTTTATTGTGTCAGCCAACTGTATTGATTGAATGCTTTGTATATCCTAATCACTATGCTAAACACTGTACCAGTATTACCTGATATAATCATATTAATATTTATTATTTCACTTTTCATATGAAAAAATTGAAGCACAGATTAAGACACAAATCATACCTCTATTGCTTATCAGCACTAGGATATGAATTGAGACATTCTGATCCAGAGAAGCTTTTGTTTCCATGAAGCTTGTGTTGGGGAAAACAATCATATTGCCTGTACTCAATTATATAAATATGTGTTATTAGTAGATGATTCTGGCTGATTCAACAGAAAAGAAATTTATTCAAAGGACATCACGCAATTTTCATAAAAGTTAAGCATACAGAGGAAACAGGGCAGCAAGGTTAGTGCAGACCAAAGTCCAAAACCACTGCCAAAGTGGCAGCCTGGAGAGCAGCACAAATTTGCTTGCCATCACCTGCCACGAGATGCTCCTGTTTGGAGCCTTGAACTTGACTTACACTGCCACTGATATCAGCATCAGTGTTCTCTGTGTACTAGGAAGCAGACCTTCTGACTTTTGCTGAACTGAGAAGTCAAATGTCTCTGCCATGAAATAAATACCTGATACAGAAACTGCTTACTCATTCATTGTCTTCCAAACCATATGCTTAAATGGTTCTGTCAGCTGAAGGGTGACTAGAGTTTTCTGTTTCTCCTTGGTACAGGCAGAATTTATAAAGCTTGCTATTTATTGCCCTAAAGATTAGGAGAATATTCATTTGGTATTGCATTGCCATAAGGTTGAACAAATCAACATTCAACTTCAAGGATTCAGCATTGTTTTGTTTTCTTTTGAGACACCTCTGCAACAGTTCAAATCTTAGTTTTACCCTTGTACAACCACGTTTATAAATATCACAGATTCTCCACTGATTGCTTTGATACTATCTTCTGTATTTATGTATAGTACTTAGCATATCATAAAAGATGTTACAGAATCTCAAAATTAGTAATTATGAATTGAGATAGTGTTACACAGCACACTAATATCTAGTTACTTGATTATTCCAAGGAAAATATTTAGAGATATTAAATATTTCTAACCTTTAGATGAATACTTTCTTTTTTTTTTTAACTTTATATCCTGCTTTAGACAAGCAATGTACTCTCAGAATCTGCTTCTACGAGGTTCAGAACATTTCCTCCCTGTGTTTTGAGAAACAAATTCAAATAACATTGCAAGCTTCAGAGGAAAGTTCAAGTTCTTTTATAGTATTGTTTAAATATTACAGCTGAGGAAACTGAAGACAGAGAAGTTAAATGCCTCAGCACTTAATCAAGATTTACAATGAACTCCTCTCTACTAAGGACCCACCAACAGGGCTTCATTTGCACCAAAACCATGAAGGTGGTCCAAGTCATCTTTGAGAAGTAGTACAAGCATCAAAGGAATGAATTCCACAGGAACAAGCATGTGGGCATCCCAGCAGGAAGATCCCAGCAGGAAGTTCCACAAGAAGACAGCATACTATGTCTTGCATTGAATGAAGCAAGTTCAGAGAGACCTAGCAACAGCTATCTCCATCAAGGTGCAGGAGAGATAACTGAAGTAGATCTTTATGCAAAACAAGAAAAAAAATGTTTAAGGCTTTGGACTTTGGCAGTCTGTCCAAACTGCAGGTCACTCTGCCTATAGTTGGGATGAATTTCAAAACACCAGTTGGAGCCCGTTGAATCTTTCTGCTATTCTGTAATATTTTTAGTAAACCTGGAACAACAACAACAACAATAAAAACAGAATGGAGGAGAAGAGGCCAAATCTCTCGGTTTACAGAGTAGGTCCTAATACTCCTTGCTGCCTGTCTCAGTGCCCAGTGGGAGAATAGTCAAAACAACGTTCACACCTGTAATTCATCTCTTTCTACATGTAGCATGTGTGAATCTTAATGTATTGTATATTAAGGATTGGTCTTTACAGATAAACACTAAAACATTAAAGGAACTCCTTGTTTTGACTTATAAAAATCATTAAGAAAATACTAGAAAATCATAGCCATTCTTTCCAATTTTGGCTTTAGATTTTCACTTGAAATGTGGCTGATAATGATTCACTGATACCCTACAGACAATTCCCATCTTAGTATGGACCACTGGATTGAAGAATTAAATAAAATGGAGGGTCTTCCCTACATGCTTTGTCTAAAGAGCAAAGTGAAACAACTGTTCATAGATCTTCATTGAGAATTCACGTGCAAAATCAGTACTCCTAAATAAAAACAGTAACTTGTCAACCAGATCCACAAATCATGAGCAAAATATTTGTCCCAGAGAAATTATTTTTCCACCACACCTCTTATAATAAGCATGGAGCCAGTTCAGTTAAAATAATTTAAGGATGGACAGTTCAGGGCTTGCTGAGTGACACAGTAAGAAAACCCAGCAGAACATTTACCTCTCTCCTTATTTCATAGCATCCATGGCCAAGGCCGGCAGCCCCCAGAATGCTGAACAGACATTTGGTCTCCTATGGCCTGCCAGTTTTCACAGTGGGTTCCAACACTTTGGGTCAAACCAAAATAGACCTGGTAGAAAAATGCTGGTTGGAATAGCCTAACGAGAAAGTAGGATAAATGTGATTGTTTGGCCTCATTTTTCTAGGA